TGTTTTTAATATTAAAATAATTGCGTTTTATTACATGCATATGAATATACATACGATACACATACCAAAGTACTTTTTTCTACAATTTACGTCTGTCTCTGGAATGACTGGACCGAATTTCCAAGACTTTTATTGGCACGTAGGTAGCTGATGTAGTAAGGAGTAACATAGGCTACTTTTACTTTGGAAAATTTAAACAAAAAAGGTATGTTCTAAAGTTCATAGTATTCTACGCAAACGAAATCGTGGGCAACAGCTAGTTAGTAATATAAACAGCAATTTTGTTACTTGATATTTATATTTAACTAGCAAACCCGGCGAACTCCGTTTCGCCACCAGTTGGTTTTGTTTTACTTAACATTTCGTTTGATGATTAAAAGATAAAGAAAACTGTTTATTCAGAATTTTCTTTGCTATAAACCTCACGGAGCCAGACCTTTCCAACGAATGTAAACCTGTGGAAATCGGTTCGTGCGTTCTGGAGTTTTAGCGTCAGGAAGGAAATCCCGACTTATTTTTATATAGTAGATAATGATTTTACCTTTCAACGCGAGCAAAACCGCAGACAATTACTAAATACAATCGCAATACGGTAAAAAACCCCATAAAAATATTTTTGCATCCTCTGTAGATAAGAACATAATGACTTCAAACAAATATTCATTGATGCACTATTTACAGTGTTCATTGCGGTCAGTTAAAACGAACGTTATTTTTACAGTGTAATCTTTTAATGGAGGTCAATAAGTTAATCTTGAGTGTCTTTAAAAAAGAGGTTTATTGTTGGCATCCAAGCTTCTAGATATTGATTTGCAAGTAAACTGCTTTACCTACAAGAAAACACTGTTTCGGAAATACCTATACACATACCAAGTCTTTCAAAACTTGTGTTCAGTAGTCATATTTAGAAATTATAGACTACTAGATTCTGCCAACGATTTTGTCCGCGTTTCCGTGGGCTAAAAAGTAGCCTATGTGTTATAACTGACCATAATCTACCTCTGTTCCTAATTGCACCCCGATCTCTTCAGCCATTTTGATGTGAAAGAGTACCTAACAAACACAGAGACGTAGGTACATCTTAACAAACTTTCGCATGTATAATAATATACTAGTTTAGACTTATATTGACCAACGGTCGAAGTTAATCCAAATGTATAGATTGGAGTCTATTTCGAACATTTCCTACCTACTTTCATTGAGTTACTTTCTTCAAGGCTCGAGTGAATAGGTTGCTTATGGCACGACGTTCTGCATCGTAGACAGTCTCATCGGTAACACCGGGCGAGATAGAGGACAAATTTCGGCCCATCAAATATAATAAAAAAAGTTTACTAATTTTAAAAACTAAGATCGATCCACATTTCAGGTAGGTATTTAAAATTGAGTTTGGTTAATAATTTCAGCTATAAATGACCATTACACAGAAGCACACATCGCTTTCGTCTACAGTATAGCAGATTTATAGGAAAAATAAAACTAATATATTGTTTCTAGAACATTTAATTTGTATATTGGTTCTGTATTATTCATGTACAACATCAATATTTGCGAAATATCATTAATTTTAATATCTATTCATGCATTTTATTAGACAAATAAAAGCTCTGATTATATGTAAATTCTTGTTAGGATATGTTGAAAACTTTGAGGTATAAATAGTTGATAATATAAGTTATTAATTATTGATAGGTAAAATCTTGTGAAGGAGATATTTAAAAAATAATTCTAGTATTTACAGTGCTGGGTAAATTTAGCACATAGTTTAGTTAGTTAGAAACCAAAAATACTGTTATTTTTTTCTTTATCTGATATTTGGCACTAAGTGTTTTAAGTATTTAAATTATTTAACGGTCGGGCCCCTGTTTTGAACTCAGTGGGGCCCCTATATCAATCAGTGGGCCGCTAAAGGCATATCTTTTCAGGTAGGTAAAAGAAGTATTTGCTACTATCTACCCAGCAATGTATTTTATTTCATTCTTAATATTTCTAATGAGAGGCAAAAACATTAAGCCAGTAAATATACGAAATGTAAATAGTAATTATATTCTTAAAATAGTCACAAGCAAGGTAAGATTTACGTTGCAACTATCTCACTCGTCAATACAGTAATTTGAAAGAGTAAAAAGGACAAAATATTTACAATTTATTATGATTTCTTTTTATTAATAAAAAATTGGTGTTTCAATGGAAAATCACTCAATTTTATTTTCTGCCGCATGGACGACGGCTTCGATAGGCCTTCCGTTTCTTTCTGTTAGAAACGGCGTTTATTGAACAGTTGGTGATTGTGTACACACGGCCACAGATCAATCTATACAAAACCAGTTTATCCTGGTGTCGCGTCGCATCATCTTTCCGCACATTTAACGTTCAGTTTATACTGGTTATGTAAAGCTCGATGTGTAGCCGTGTGTACATTAAACATTAGCCAGTTTATTGTTAGGTCTTTGAATAAAATACAACACTAGCTTTCCAGTAGTGGTTTGTAGATGATTAATCTCGTACCATCATAGACATATTATACTGTGTTATTTTATGAAAATATTCTACATGTAGGTACCTACATGTACTTACATGCTTGTAAAATATGTCCACAAAATTTACAAATGTGTCAAGTAAGTACTTTATTAGGAGTTACACAATAATTATTATTTACTATGAATGAAGACTAAGTGGATTCCTTATGGGTACTATGATCAATTTAGCTTCATTATGGTAACAGCTGAAATATTTGATTTTAGGAAGCATTCGTTGTTATTGTTAATAAATATTTTTATAGTTTCTACAATACATGGGGTTTTATATTAAAAATGTAGACGTGATAATTTTTGAAATACTTTTAAGTTGATTTATAAAGAAAAACGTTATACTTTTCTGCAAGCTATTTACAGCCCAAGCCAACAATTAATCATGTTTCATTATTTAAAAATTAATATCTATCATTAAAGAATTCCTGTTTAAGAACAAGCAATTTATAATATAAGTACATTATTTCAATGAATTGTTTTGTTTTTACCCATTTAATACGTAGGTATTGTAGTCGTGAAAAATAATAATAAAAAATATATTTTTGAATCTAGTTCTTGCTTGCTATGTCTATCAAAATTCTACAACTTATTGGAATTTGGACAAATAGTTTAATATTATTTGAGATTCTCATCAGAGCATAGCGCGTAATTTTGACAGTGGGCCCCAATTAATTTAGCGGGCGGGCCCCGCTGACAAGGCTGCATTTTCTCAACAGTTTTGAGCTATATTTGTCTTGTAATTCGTCAGAAAACTTTTAATATTGATTCGAAGTTTGTTTTAGGCGCGTACAAACTCCTTAAAATTTGTTGTGTTTTAGTATTAACAACGTAATAAATAATTAAAGCCAGCGTTAGCGTTAAGCGGTCGATATTTTACGTAGCCAGGAGTCGATTTTCTTGACCTTGTTTATCTTTGAGCTTGGACAACTATACACTATTTCTTATTCTTTGTATGTAGGTAAATAACTACCTATGTAGGTATTTTTAGGCATAAACCTCAATACCCCGTTTGCAATTTGAAGTGGTAGGTAATTCATTAAATAGTTGTTGAGTACCACACAAAATTTTATACATTGCTATGAAATTTTGATTGTTTCATTTTCGCTTTCATCTTTTATCAAATAGCTTCTCATTCTATTGCAGCTTTATCATTTTTGATACTACAATTCCTTTGCAGTTCTTTTTACCAGTAGTAGTACTAGTCCCATTTTGTCCTAATCCTGGCTACGTAACTATATCGGCAGTTTAGTTGGCAGCTACAGGTCGTGGTAGCACGAGGTCTGGTCCTTCAGTCGTGTCGTCCTCGTCTTCATCGTCACACGCATCCTCAGGTTCACCCAGGGCGCGGACGAATTCTAAAAAACAAAAATTTACTATTGAGTATCAGTGAATTTGTTAGAAAACTTCATTTAGTTCATTAAATTCGTAACTACAGCTTACCAAGGAAATCAATGCGGCCATCGCCATCTGCGTCGACCTCTTTGATCATGTCCTCGACTGAAAAAATATTACGGAAACGTTTAGTATTTTCTACGAAATATGGTATGGTCAGGTACCTATTGTATACCTGTAGTAATGAAGAGTGTACTACTTCATGTTTTTATTATTGTCATATCTATCAGCTACAAGAGGTGAGCTGCTAAACATAGGCTCCAAATCAACCGGTTAGAAACGACCTGCATCCAGCGACTCCGGTTACATTTTCCAAAGCCCTAATTAAAAATAGAGTATCAACTTACTCTCTTCCTCAGACAAGTCCTCTCCCAAGCACTGAAGGACAGCCCTCAGGTCTGATGCGCATATATAACCTCGGTTGTGTTTGTCGAACACTCTGAACGCGTCTCGTAGTTCCCTCTCCTCCTGCTCAGCGGAGCTGGTGTTCCCTGCAGGACCACTCATGGACTTGGAGAGGATGCTCACGAACTCCTCGAAGCTGACGTTGCCGTCGCCTGGGAAAAGAAAGTAGGTAGATACCTTATTATCGAATGATTCGATTCCAAGTCTTTGAAGCGAGTTTTAAGTTTTTTAGCGTGGGAGCGCTTATAAACATACAAATTCCCACAATAACAGGTACCTAAGCCCGGGGCCTTTTTTTCAAGAGGGGAAAATCGTCGAATGACTTCTCCCGCCTGGGTGAGGCGGGAGGTAGTGCCGGACTCTTACTGACTAAAAACCACCCCGTTCCTACTCCTGCACTTCGAGCCGGAACCCTGGTAACCCGTTAAGTTCTCCGCGGCTATGTATCGGTATCAGCCCTGTTGGGCCCCATCCGTGATAGTCTGATGGCTCTTTGAGCACGCTGGAGATGTTGATTCTGATCCTCCGCAGGCCCGTGCTTACGGTGGCCAAACCCGGAGCCTAGATCAACAATTTATGGATCACATAATAATAAAACTTCAACTGTCAACTGTGACAGTTTCATGGCTACTGGTGTTCATCATAATCACGTAAAGAGTTACCGTGAACCATGCAGGCTAGATGATGATCAGGTAATCTGACTTTTAAGCCTCGACAAAGAATAATTTATACAACTAATGACTTCCACCTACCGTCACTGTCGACCTCCTGCAGCATGTCCTGTAGTTCTTCGACCCTAGCGAATTGGCCCAGGCTGCGCATGACTCTGCCGAGCTCCTCCTTCGTGATGGTGCCATCACCGTCCTTGTCAAATAGACGGAATGCCTCACGGAATTCTGGTCAAAAGAATACAGCCATTAATATTAATTTTAAAAATTTTTGCATAAGGTAATTTTTCTTGTAGAACAACCAATTTCTGTAAACAATGAAAACGTACGAGGTAGTTTTGTCGTTCCGAGTCCAAGCTATACCTAATTGAATTAAAAGTTTGAGGACAATTCCAAGTCCATTTAAATATAATTATTAGGTAAATTATGCCTTCAGTAAATTGTCCCTAATTACCCGTTTTTGTTTATCTAGGATCGAGTAACACATTACTTATCTACTTTAAACTTTTATTAAGCCTCTGACTGCCGACAGAAAACTGCTGAAGGCAAATCGTCCGCTAACGTAGGTCACCGGTGTCTTAAGCGGCGGTAAACGTGTTAATCGTTAAATCTAAATTGCCTAATCTACCTTTCATTTGGGTCCTGGTGATGCCAGAGGTCTCGTCGACGATGGACGCCTTCCTGTCGAGGGTGGTGTCGGCGGCCGGTTTTAGGAACGTCACCTGACGTGGCGGTTTGCTCGGAGACGCCTGCTCGGGGAGCTGCTGACTGAAAGTAGGAAAGGAGTTTTAAATAGTGTGATATGGATATTTATGTAAAGGAGCACGTTTTGTTATTGTGTTGGGTAACAATGTCTTTTATAACTCACTCTTTTGAACCAGCTTGCAGCCTATACTGTGCATTACCTAACTATATTCAGTTAAAAGGCGATTTTTCTATGAAATTGCTCTCTTCAGCGTCTAGCAGGTACCTATCTTTCATTTAAAAAACACCTAAAGGCTGAACACAAATAAGCTTAGTAAAATTTAACTGCACGGTTGGTGCGGTGACTGGGCAACCGGCTGCCGTGCATCGTGTCGCGGGTTCGATTCCCGCACGGAACAACACTTTGTGTGATCCACAAATTGTTGTTTCGGGTCTGGGTGTCATTGTGTATGTGAACTTGTATGTTTGTAAACGCACCCACGACACAGGAGAAAATCCTAGTGTGGGGCAACGTTTTTTAAAAAAGAAAAAAAAAAAGAAAAAAAAAAAGAAAAATACTAACACAAATCTTCCTACAAAATTCAGGAACACTTTCCTAATTTAAAATCCCTAAGGCAAACGAGAAGATCTCTTGGTGGCCCGAAGTTTTAAGAAGTCCGCTTCTCCGCATAAGAGTGCGGGTTCGAAACCTACCAACGGCAAGTACCAATGTGACTTTTTCCGAGTTACATGTACTTTCTAAGATTATCTAGACATCACTGTCAAACGGTGAAGGAAAACATCGTGAGGAAACCTGGACATATAATTTCTAATTATAATGTAAGTTTGAAATAAGCACGATGGGATTGACATAATCACATAATGTGCATAAAAATCCCTTAAAATAAATGACATTAAAAAAAATTAGATATCCCCAACCCGCATTCAGCAAGCGTGGTGATTAATGCTCAAACCATCTCCGTGCGAGAAGAGGCCTTACGTCATCAGTGGCCACATATAGCCTGTTGATGATGATAAAACGAAAAGATAATAATATAAGGTTTATCATCTCTTAAAGTAAATTCACATCTCAGTAAATCAAAACAAAATTCACTTTAGAAAACGCAACATATTAAACAAATACCGTTTTGGCCTGGTAAACATTAGTTTTACATAGCTAATGAGATAATTCTTGGGGCGATGGAGCGACCCAACTTTGTTTGACCAGCCGTTGCAATGCTCCGGGGCAAATAGAATTTTTAAATTGGATTTGCTAGGGGCCGCGCGCCGCGGCGAGCGAGAATTTTTCCATTTTTTAAACGGAAAAAAATGAGGAATTCTGGTTGCGTTCAAAGCGTAGTTTTGCAATTATTTAAATTAAAATGGAATGTTAGAAATGAAAATTGAATTTTTAGTTGCATTTTATGGTAGATTATCTTAAATCTTTTTTAACCCTTAACTATCCAGAATGCTTTTGTGACGTAACTGACCAGTAGTGTCCAACAGACTCATTTTATAAATGTAAGGTATGATGAAAGAAGAGAAAGATATTTTGAATGAAAATGACAGTATAATGTATTTCAGTAATGTGTATTTACACATATTTACTTATAGATATTACAATTATTATTTTTTTCAGAATATTCAGTGCATGTATTGCGTTTGTATTCAGCACAACACTGTTTAGAAGCCCTTGATTATTTTGAAGGGAAAATATAACAAAACTTCTTCCTTTTTCCATTATAGCTTGATAAATTGGATTGCCAAAGATAGGGTACCAGTATTCTCTAAAATCTACACCTCTCTGTTTATTGACGCTTATAGTCAATAAAAGACCTCGGAGTACTTGCATTTCAATTTTATATCTGTTGATTTCCATCGATTTTGTAAAACTCTAAGCCCTTCAGTATTGGTATATTTTACTATTATTTGTAATACGTGATCGTCGAAAAAAAAAGGCAGAAACTGTCTATCGGATCTAAAATAATTCGGACCGTAGTAGGAAGAATCACCTTATGGATACCACCGCGAATTATGTTGTGTCGAGGCGTTCGGTTTTGCCTGTTAGGTTCTGATTTCCAATATAAGTGTAAATTGAGACGTATTCTTGTTATCATCATCCCTGTTATTCCATAATTGTTCATCATCGTTTTCAGATGCTGGTTCTGTGACATTACTTCACTATCGCACTCATGGACAAAAATGTTTTCATCGTTACTTTCAACAAGGGCACGCTGAATTTCACTTTGTATTAGTTGCCGTTTAGCGATATCATTCAATAAAAACGAATTAGAACATGGCTACATTTTGACAAGAGTTTCTGATTACTGATACGTGATACGATTACAAAAACTATGATTATAACACAAACAAAGGTCTAGCAACCGCTATTGCCCACTCGACACCATAATATTATAAGTAAATGTAAATAAAAACAATCTACCTTCACACTTGAATGAAATAAAACGATATTGTGTCTGTTGGACACTTCTGGGTTGATGAAGTACTATTTTCGTTTATTGACCAAAAATAATAAATTATTCACGTTACAAATATTTTCATTGCACACTTAGATTCGTAAAACATTGGCGATAAATTAGATAAAAGGCCGATTCATAAAAATAAAAACTTTAGTTTTTATGAAAACATAAACGCAAAAATGTGTCCGCGAGACACTTGTGGGTTGTTAAGGGTTAAAGGGGTTAGGTTACTATTTGCCTGTTGACTGTGATTTACTAGTCATAGTTGGTACCTAGATCACCTCCTTCTGCGAAGCAGTCATGCTAGCTAAGGAGGAGGCGGAGCGCGTGAGGGAACGAACCTCCTCACGACCCGGCCGTCGCAAGAGACACTCCGGGCGTCGGGGATCGCGAGACGATCTCCGGCCACCGTAAGCACGGGCCTGCAGACGGCGAGCACGGGTGACTCGCCGCCCGACCAGAACCAGGCCCGAGCGTACGGCGTGTCGCGTTCCGCGCGCGCCTCAAGGAGCCATCAGACCACCACAGATGGGGCCTAACAGGGCTGATGCCGATACGGAGCCGCGGAAGACTTAACGAGTTGCCGGGGCTCCCGCTCGAAGTGCAGGAGTAGGAACGGGGTGGTTTTTAGTCAGTAAGAGTCTGACACTCCCTCTCGCCTCACCCAGGCGGGAGCAGTCATTGGATGTTTTTCCCCCTCAAAAAAAAAAAGGTACCTAGATCAGACAGAATTGATTTTAAACCCTAATTCAAAATGGGATATATCGTAGTACTTATATTCAGTAGATATTAACATACAGAATTACAGATGATATGTAAGTAATAATCATCATAAGATTTTTACGTTGGCGTATACCCACGGTATCCTTAGAATAAAGTCTTCTCACTCATTCAGAGAAAATTATGTTCTGTTTATAAAGGCCTAGTATCAACTTTCACTCGTTATGTATTGACTATGCTCATTAAAACATAAAAAAGCATATATACCTACGGTCGAATTGAGAACCTCCTCCTTTTTTTGAAGTCGGTTAAAATTGAAAACATCTCTTTATACTTTGTCAAGAAATTTAGAAAACAAATTACGTAAATACGTATTTTTTTTTTTAAGGGGGAAAATCATCGAATGACTGCTCCCGCCTGGGTGAGGCGGGAGGGTGTGTCAGACTCTTAATGACTAAAAACCACCCCGTTCTTTCTCCTGCACGTCGAGCCGTAGCCCCGGTTACCCGTTAGGTTCTCCGCGACACGTAAATACGTATAGTAGGTATCTACATCTAATGACATAACAATATTCAGTGGATTTTTTTATGGAATAAGCCGGTAAACGAGCAAACGGATCACGTGATGGTAAGCAATCGGCGTCGTCAATGCACACAAGTGCGTTACCGGCCTTTTGGAGATTGGGGATTCAGCACGCAACAACTCTTTGTGTGATCCACAAATTGTTGTTTGGGTTTTGAATGTCACAATCATGTGTATGTGAACTTGTATGTTTGTAAACGCAGCCACGACACAGAAGAAAATCCTAGTGCTGGACTGTGGGGCAACATTTGAAAAAAATCTTTATACCTCCATTCTTCTGTGAGTGTGTATGTCACTGAACTTCTCTCAAACGACTGGACCGATTTTGATGATTTTTTTGTGTGTGTTCAAGAGGATCTGGGAATGGTTTAGATTCACAAATCAGCCCGGCAGATGGCGCTGCAGTCAATGTTTAGGTTATTTATCCTAAACAGCTGAACTAATTTGAATGAATTTTTGTTTATATATTCAAGTGGATATGCAGGACAACGTCTGTTGGGTCCGCTAGTATATTATATAAAGTATGAACTTTAGATGTCCTAGAAAGTCTTAAAGAGTTTACGTAACCGTAGATACTACGTGCCTAGGTACTTAGGACTCTTAAGTACATTACTAGTATATAAGCTCCTTTCTATTTCTCAACAAGCTTTTTAATAAAATGGTCCAACAATTGGTAAATGTTCTCAGCTATTGTGCCTACAATTGGATCTAACAAAGGGTCTTGCAATGCGCACAGAGTTCTGAGAATCGCTGTGATAGAAAACAGGAAGGTAAAATTTTCTTATATTCCCTTTAAGATTTATTGACTCTGGCTGGCTAGCTTAAATAAGTTAGACAATAGGGTAGTTGCCAGGGTATGAAAATTAAAAATCTAAATAGTCCGGCAGTTATATAATGAAAAAATATTAGACACGTATTTTTTTGTTTACTCGTATAAAGTTACAATACTTAGATAAAATGGAGTTAAGTTTAGGAGTGGGAGATCGTTACGTCACAAAGTGCTACAAAATGTAGCCCATTGTGACGTCACACGATATTTCAGATTAATATATAATCGAAAGTATTTAATTTTGTGAGAAAAAAAAATGTGTCTAATGTTTTAAATTAATCTACCAGACGGACATTAAAATAAAATTTAGGGAACACTGTAAGAAGTCAATCCTAACTCTCGAAGTAAACTCGATCGTATTCTCGCGCGTCACAGGTCGAGATTATTCTACCAACCAAATTCATTCATACATTGTCACAAATGTCATTACTCACTCTGAGAGTATGAACTGACATCTTACAGATTAGCAGTTC